CAGTCTCATAGACTTGCATCTTTTAAAGAGACGAATTGGTACGTATGGGCTTCCTCCATCTATCTTATAATGCAATAGGCATCTTATGCTGCGGCAAGCATACTATGATGTGACATTTATAGGCGGGGAAGTAGCTTTGTAGTCTTGCTTGTTCAGCCTCGGGGAACTGAACTCCCTTGAGATAGGAAAAATAAAGAGTGAGGTAGTGGACAACTAAGAAAGATCATCTTTTCAAGGCTAGAAGTGCTATAAAGGAAAGTAGGTAGAAGAAGGAGACAAGAACTAGCTTGCTATACCTAAATCAGTTTGACTCAATGCTTGCCCTTGGATCTTTTTCCCCAGCTTCTTTCTACGATTCTAGTCAAGCCCTACTAGTATGCCTCGAGAGCCTGAGCTACTAATATATTTTCCTTACCTATATATCACAATTAGTATAATCAAAGCCATTTCCTTTCATGTAGAGCGTCTTTTCAAGTCAGTCTTGTCTCCCCTGCTGTTAGCAAGTGCCTCGGGCCATGCCTCTCTTTTCTAACAATCTTAGCCGAGTGCTTTGTTCCTCTCCTTTTAGTTGATCTACTTCATTCCAGCCTTTGTCTTTCTATTTTGAAACACTTTTGGCTTGAACTCTATTCGTTTGAGCTTGCAACCCCTCTCGACCTGTATTTTCAGACTCATTCCCTTTCTCTTTTGAAACAATCTTAGTTCAAGAACTGGTCGATAGACTCATATCCTTATATATTATCGGAATGCACTCCTAGATAGGGAAGCATAGGTTCGAGCCCAGCTCGTGAAAAGGCCTTTTCTCTTAAAGGAGAATGAGCTTTCTCTATCTCCACAACTCTAATTGTAACATGATCTGGGGAAGCTGTTCAGTAAGGAAAGATTGTATCTGCGTAGAGTAGCAATCTTATTACTTTCAGCTGACTGGAAGGGCGAATAAGGCTCTTTATTTTCCTTAGTTTGCGAAAGACCCCTAGGAATACAAAAAGAGTAAGAATACAGTTTCTAACAAGTATAAATCTCCAGATTAGGCGAATGGAGAAAGAGAAGGTTTATTAGCTGGAAGTCATATCCCCCACTAGTGGAGAAATGGAACTATCCTTGCGACTTCTTCCCTAGATTAATTCCTTCCTTAAGGGAAGTCTCACTCAAGGATTTGAGAATATTCTCATCCAGCTCTTAATCAGAAGAAGAAGGAGTATAAGAGGTCTCACCCGGTGGACCAGTAAACACTTTACCTACGCAGCAGTCAAATGAGCAATATACTGAGTCATTGGAAATCGAAGTAAGGAAATTGGAGACTTCCCAAATCAGAGAGAAGAGGAGTGACCTAACCACTTAGGAAGAATCGAAACCATAGAAAATGTTCTAGCTTCGCCGTTCTTACTTCAATCCAATCAGATCCTGATTCTGCGAAAAGTCTTTCAAGTTCGGATACGATCACCCAATATAACCCTCCTTAACTGCCCTAGCTTCTTTTGCATCGGGCATGGTGGCACATCCTTCTTGATTGGGCATCTTTCATAGAGAAAACTGCATATGAATCAGGCACACTCTAACCCCTGAACTTCCCTCCTAGAGGTGGGTGCTTTACTTCCCGCTCTTTCTCCATTCAAATAATAAGGTCTTAAAGGACAACTCTAAATAAGATTAGATGCTCGACCCAAACTATAACATATCTCCCGATTTTCTTAAGGCCAAAAATCATGAAAAGTTGGGCAAGAATGCTATCAAAGACTATTTCCATGGAAGAGCATCTGGGAAAAGACTAAGGGAATATCTTTTAATCGCTATAAGGAAGATGAAGTTCGACATCAATAAAGAATCTTTCATACTTCTGGTTCCATGGAAGGTGAAAGGGCCAGGGACAAAACTCCGGGCACATAATTCTTGGGCGAGCACTCTCCAGGGACATAACAACATTCTGTCACCGCGACCTTAGGGAATTGCATTAGGATTCCCCCACCTCATAAAACATCATTTGATTCTTCTGACACATATGATATGAAAGAAGATGAGTCTTTATTCTCCCTATCAGGCATAGTTTCTTTTCAAGAAAAAGACAGAGGATATGAGCTTGACACCGCAGCTAGGCGTGCTTCCACAGACTGTATACGTGGTAGGGCCTTCTTCAAAAAGTAGGTTTCCAAGACCGCAGATTCAAGAGTTAAGTTAGAGGCTGACTAGTTAAATAAGAAATTCAAATGAAAGAAGGTTCTTTCACCTTATATTGATTCTTTCTTCCTGCTTCAACTCATAGATGACTACAAGAGGATCACTCACTCTACTATAACACCACTAAGAGGGATTAGATTACCAACCCCTCTTTCTAACTAGAACTTCAGAACAACTATGCTTGTCGCCCGCTAAAGCAATTGTCACAGCTCCAGCTGAAGCAATTGTAACTGCTCCAGTGGATCAGAGTTACTCAAAAACCGTGATAGGTCATTGAGATCAGAACTGCTTACAATAACCTTGACCTGGTCTAATGGAAAGGGAAAGCTGAAAAAAAGAGATATTTAATACAAAAATGATCCGATACATATAAAGATGCTACTTGAAATCGACTCCGTGAAACCTTGTTTGAGTGAGAGGAACGATCAAAAGATAAAGAGTTGTAGCTAGGTCCTATAGAAATTGGAATAAGAGCTTGCTAGTCATGTGGAAGGTCTTCGAGGAGCCAAAAAGTGCTCCATGCAAGGACGATCCGATCTCTATTGTGTAGCCCTTCAAGTGCTGATAGACCGCAAGATCCTATTGTTTATTGGCATGGAATGAACATGGTCCCTAGCTATGAACCTATGTTTTGACTTCATGAAACATTAGTAGGATGGTTCACTGGAGATGCAGTGTACTTAGCTTTTATGTTTTTTCTTTGTATTTGCCTCCA